ACCCCCCCGCCCCTCCCCTGGGCCCTCGGCTGATGGAATGCTCTGAAGCCTGGTGGGCACATTTCAACCAGAGGGACGCCACCCTCCGGGCCCAACCAGGTCTCCGTAATACCCGCCAGGTCCGCTCCTCCCTCTTGTATAAGATCGTGAATGCTATCTTGATGCTATCGCTCTGTTCATGCAGCCTAGGATTGTATTGGGTTTTTTTTGGGGTGGGGGAGCTGAAGTACACTGCTGGCACATACTTACTTGATGGTCCACTAGGACAGCTGTCCCCAGCCTTTCCTGCTCTGAACTGGCGGGGGGGGGGCTGAGGAGGAGGGTAGAGGGGATGGTTTCTCACACATGCCCTCTGCTTGTGTAAACGGAGCTTTACATGTTTGCCTGCTGCTTGCGTGGTCTGGTTCTCAAAGGGCTGTGGTTCGGGGGTTGTGGACCCCTGCGCTAGGACACCAAACTCCCTCTCACGGTTACCATATTTTTTGGAGTATAAGACACACCTTAGTTTTTGGGGAGGAAAATAAGAAAAAAGCTGATTGGCGGGTGGATCAGCCTCCCGGAATACCCCCAATCAGCTGTTCCCAGAGGGGAATTTTAGCAACAGGTTCCTTGGTTGTGAGCTCTGTGCCTTGCCTTTATTTTCTGCCTATGAAACTTCTGAAATTCTGTTTCAGAAAAAAACTTTTTTTCCTGCCTCTGAAAGCCTCCAAAACAGAGCTTCAGAAAAAAAGCCTCTGAAGCTCTGTTTGGGGGCTTCTTTTCTGAAGCTTCGTTTCTGATGCTTTTTTCAGCCTCTGAAACCTCCGTTTGAGAAGCTGGGCAGGGCTACATTCGGAGTGTAAGACGCACCCAGATTTTCAGCCTCTTTTTTTTGGGGGGGGGGGGGGGGGAAGGTGCGTCTTATACTCCAAAAATACAGTAGCTACTATTGAGCCAGATACCACCTATTCTATACCTGTGCACTTGATTCTTCCTGTCTAGGTGAACTCCATCTTGTTGGAGAGGGCCCAGTGCTCAAGTCTATGAAGAGCCTTCTGAATCTTGAGTCTATTCTCCGAAGTGTTAGCAGTTCCCCCTAAATTGGTGTCATTTACAAAATTGATGAGCTCTCCTTCTGTCCCTCATCTAGATCTAGATATAATTTAGATCTAGATATAATTTATAATTTAATTAAAGAGCACCTGCCCCAAAACAGAACCTTGAGGTACCCCACTGCGTGCTTCCCCCCATGTAGATGCAGTTCTGTTAAGCAATTTCTCAGCCAATTGTGAATCCATCTGGTGACGACACTGTCTCACATTGTTCTGTCTTACCAAGAAGTAGACTGTGGTCTATTTTCAAATCCCTTACTGTGAAGTCCAAAGTATATTACATCCATAGCATTTCCCCGATCCACTAATTTAGTCACTTTTATCAAAGAAGGCAATTAAGATTTGTCTGTAGTGATCTCTTTTCAACAAACCCATGCTAGCTTCTTGCAATTGGCTTGTTCATTTCTAGACGCTCACAGATCCTCTTTTCCAGGGTTTTCCCAGGTATTGATGTGAAGCTGATTGGTCTGTATTTCTTGGATCCACTTTCCCCCCCTCTTTAGTAGATTGGAACCCCATCACTACTTCTTCAGCCTTCTGGCAGTTCTCCTAGCTTTGTTCCAGGAGGTTTGAACAATTCTGTTCAGTGGTTCCGAGTTCACATCTGCTATCTCCTTCAGAACTGTGGGATGTAATCCTTGTGGTTGTGGTATTTAAACTCTCCTAGAGTGGAGAAGGTGTTTTGTTACCTATTTCTTGGCTTTTTTGACCTGCATTCCTGTTCTATCTGTCACTGTGCTGCTTTCGGTACGTTGAGCTATTTTTTCCCCACCCCCATTGGCGTGAAGACAAATGCAAAAAAGAAATTAAGCAGCTCTGCTTTCTCCCTGCTGCTTTGCCATCTTCTCCCATTAGTGGACCCTATCATATCTTTTGACTTTTTCTTGTTCGTTACTTATTGGAGGGAAAAAACCCTTTTTGGGGGGTTATTTTTGGCATTTCTTGCATTTCTTCGTTTTCCTGACTCTGTCATTGCAGATTTGGGCAATTTGCTGGAATTCTCTAGCTACTTGCCCCTCTTATTAGTTGGTTTCCAAATGATGTAGGGAACCTGAGTCTGCCAGGAGCCTCCCATTGCAGAATTGGGACTTCTGGAAAGGACTCTGGGAGGATTGGTTGTGTTAGTTTTGTTTGCCGTTGTAAGTGATGTAAATCAGGAGTCATCAACCTTTTGGACCTCAGGGACCACTAAATTCATAATTTTAAATCCCACGGACCACTAATATGAATTTTTTAAAAAAGATAAATAGCATTTAGTGCTATTTAGCATATAAAAAATGCAAATAATTTTTCTGCGGACCACCAACATTTTCTCATGGACCACCAGTGGTCCAAGGACCACTGGTTGGTGACCACTGATCTAAATGTCTCTGGAGATCGTCAATCATCCAGGCCATGGTTGTCCCAAAGGTGCTTTTTTCTCCCCAAAAGGCAACTGGACTTTCTTGGATTTTTCTTTGTAAATGTTTTGCTTCTCATTCAAAAACTGAAGAAGCTTCTTGGATGAGAAGCAAAACTTTTTTTTTTTTTTTTTTAAGCCCAGTTGCTTTTTTGGAAAAAAGCATCTTTGGGACTTACTTGCAAGCGATCAGACGTCTGAAGGGCTTCTGCTGGCTACCTGGCAAATTTCTTGGAGAGGTTGAGCTTAGTTGGAGGTGGAGGGATATTCTGAATTCTGAAGCATTTTATTCATGCAGCTTGCTAAACTTTGGGATTTGGGGGGGGGAGGCTGGGGGAAGGGGATTTCCACAGTGAAGCCAACCCTTTCGCTTCTGGGGGAGTAGAAAACAGCTGATGTTGATCTGTAGAGAACCTAAGTCTGGTTAAATTCTGTTGTTAATGTATCACAGATTGTATAGTTAACCGGATGACAGTTTGCTAAGAAGGGTGACAAAACTTGCCTCCTTCCCCTTTTCCACATGTACATTTACGATCTGTATGTTTGAGCAAATGTCCCAGCTGAAGAGCTAGTGAAATACACTTCCATTCTCAATATCTTACGTAGCCAAAGGTACTCTGTTTTCCCGAAAATAAGACATCTCCTGATAATAAGCCCAATCAGGCTTTTGAGTGCATGTGCTAAAATATGCCTCTCCCCCGAAAATAAGCCCTCCCCGAAAATATTTAAATGCAGAACTGGAAATCAGACGGCAAGAAGAGCCCCGTCTTGCTCCATGCGCCCCAAAATAATAAGATCTCCCCAAAAATAAGGCCAAGCGCTTATTTCAGGGTTCAAAAAAAATATAAGACAGGGTCTTATTTTTGGGGAAACACGGTAGAGAAATTGGCTCCCCCCTCCCCCCGTTTTCCCAGAACTGGTTTACTGAATGGGAAAGACAGAAAAAGGGAAAAAAAAAGGCATTTACAAGGATGACTTCCCTGATTTAATCTTTTTGTGGTTGTCAGTTTGGAGTACAGGTAGTCCTCGACTTACGAAAGTTCATTTAGTGACCGTTCAAAGTTACAGTGGCACTGAAAAATGTGATTTATGGCCATTTTTCAGAGTTACGACCTTTGCAGCATCCCTATGATCACGTGACCAAAATTCCAGATGTTTGGCAGCTAGTTCATATTTATGACCGTTGCAGTGTCTCAAAGTCTCGTGGTCCCCTTTTGCGACCTCCTGGGGAAGCCAGATTCATTGAATGTCCGTGTTACTAACTTAACGACTGCAGTGATCCACTTAACAACTGTGCCAAGAAAGGTGATTAAAATGGGCCAAAATTCACTCAAGAATTGTTGCTTAGCAACAGAAATATTGTGCTCAGTTGTGGTCGTATGTTGAGGACTACCTGTACCTTTATGCTACCCTCTTTTCCCCAAAATAAGATACCCCCACTGATAATAAGCCCAATCGGGATTTTTGAGCGCATGGCAATAAGGCCAAGCATTTATTTCAGGGTTCAAAAAAAAAATAAAAATAAGGTAGAGAATGTTAGCTTGAGGGCGAGAGGAAGGCCTTTCTGAACAGATCCCCCGGGAATCTATGGGGCACTTCCATAACCCTCTCCAGCTGTGTGCCTAAATTATAATAATTCAGTGGCCCCCAACCTTTTGGGCACCAGGGACGGGTTCCTTGGAGAGAGGTTTTTCTGCGGCCTGGAGGGGCATAGGACACATGGTTTTGCATGCTGCCTGCATCCCACAAATGGGGTTTCACTTGTTTGCGAGACCCCTGCTATAATTGACCTTTTGCTCAGCAGGACCCAAAAGCTCCGAGTAAGTCCGTTGTCCTCTCCTGAGGAATGCAGGCCTGCCATTTGTGTTCAAGTTGCCTCCCAATAGGCCAGGGGTCGGCAACCTTAAAACACTGAAAGAGTCATTTGGACCCGTTTCCCACAGAAAAGAAAACACCGGGAGCCACAAAACCCTTTTGTCACCTAAAATGAAGATAACACTGCATATATTGTTTTTTACCTTTATGCTATGTATAAAAAAAACTATAGTGTGTTGCATTTATGAAATCAATGACCTGTTACAGAGAAAACACATTTTTATTTCTGCACGCAACAAAAATATTTTGAACTCCAGGAAAAAAAAAAGATGGGTTGAAAAGCTCAATAAATCACGTGCTGAAGGATGTCGCACATTGGCGGTTGTGACGCATATTTTGACAGGGAGCTGCAGCAGAGGGATGAAAGAGCCACAGGCGGCTCCAGAGCCAAGGGTTGCTGACCCCTGCAACTTTTATAAGGCTCCCAAACTGTAAATGATTCACTGGTTAAGTTGTCCAGTTTGAATCCAGTTTGTGGATTCACATTAATGTAGATGTCGAGGGAAAACGGGCGTCTTCCGTTTTTCAGCCTCTCGCCCCCCCCCTCCCCCCTTTAGTGTGCCGGTCTGGCTTCCTGGATAACCATGGCTCCCAGAGTGTCCTAATTCCTTCTTTCCTTTTTTCCCTCCCTGCAGGTCTCAGTGGCGCAATGGCCAGCATCAGCGTCCGCTCGAGCACCCCGGGCTCCCCCACCCACGTGAGCAGTGGCTCCAACGGGAGTCGAAGGAGAAACGGACTCCATGATGTTGACTTGAACACTTTCATATCTGAAGAAATGGCACTCCACTTGGACAATGGTGGAACTAGAAAGCGTACCTCAGCCCAGTGCGGTGATGGCATTACGGACTCCCCGACCCATAAACGCAACCGTATGATCTAAATGGCAACAATTGTTTTCACCCTCCCCTTCCCCCACCTGCCCCCCTCCCCTTTGCTCAAAAAAGCCCACTGGTGCTCATCTGCCCACTGGGAAAACAAACTTGAGGCTCTCTCTTCGCGAGTCACACAAAATATTTGCCATAAACGAAAAGAATACATCCGGAGGCTAGACTCCCCTCGAACCTCCTCTATGGCTTTCCTCAGAGTAGATTCTTTAGCAAGAGGATTTCCAACGTTGTGTAGTAGCTAGCAAGCTCATCGCAGGTTAGATCACACATCCATTCCAAGGCTAAAAGTGACCTTACGTGTACTCTTAAAAGGGAAGAAAGGAAATATCAGACATTTTATTTGGTTATAGATTGCTTTCTGTCCTTTATTTCTTGCCGTGTTTCAATATTTGCTTCAACAATATTGCCACTTTTAGACAACAGTGTCAACACCATGACTTGGCAAGTAAGACCCACATGCTTCCTTTAGAGAGAAAATATATATATATATATATATATATATATATATATATATATATTCATAAATATATTAATATTTTCCTTTTAAAGCCTACTAGACACATAATTTTCTATTTAAATAAGTGCGCACATTATAAGCTTTGGCTTGTGTCCATTTTTTTAAAAAAAAATTTACAGAGCAATTGAGAACCGGGAGGTGATGTAAACAGGTTCCCTGGTGGTGATGCGGCAGAGACTTAAGTCATTACAAGAAGGCTGTTTGTTGAGGTTGTGTGTGTGAGCTCTAAAGCAGTTGCCCCCAGGCCCTCCTCTTCCATCTGCCCCAGGAATGTCCACCTGGAAGGTTTTGAATGGATTGCTTAAGTCCGCCAGCAGAGTACTTTGAGCGTCAGAGGGATGTGTTTTGTCACTGGGAGGACATGTGGTTTTGGGTAATACAGGTACGTATCATATCCTTTCCTCAGTGTGTGGGGAGAAAACTGGGTGGGTAGGAAATGTATTTATTTTTTTAAAAGGGGGTTTGGCCTTTGTGTCTTCCCATCATGCTGCGGGGGTGAGGTTTGAGCTGCTTTTAAAAAGCAGGAACACCCGTGTCTCGGGCACAATCATTTTCTTTGACATTTGGGCGAGATAGAAGAACCTCTAGACCCCATTTTGGGTGGCTTTAGTGCCCAGGACTGCAGAGCTAAGCCGGCCCCCAGTGTTGGGGTTTTGCTGGCCAAGCCTTCTGACGCCAGCAGAGGGTAATGTTGGTATAGCAAAAGGGAACCACCATTTTCGAGTCAGGTATGTGAGACACCCACCCCCTGAGCTACCTTGAGAAAGGTAAAAGGGAGAGGGCCAGGACATAAGGGCTGAACTGCTCCACCTGGGTCGAAATTCCCCTCCCCTCCCATCTTGGCACACAGACCCTCCTTTCTGTGTCCTCCAGAGATCTGTTGCATTTTTATCAAAGGAAAGGATTGTAATAACTCTTGCCCGACAACACTGGGAGTTTGAAAATGGTAGGTTAGTCTTCTCTGTTCTGGTGCCCCCCAGCTGTGTTTGGCTACAGCCCCTTCGTCCCTTGCCTTCTGGCTGAGGATGATGGGAGCTCTAGTCTGCCTTGACTGCAGAAGGGCAGTTTGCAGTGTTTCAAAAACAGCCTTGGAACCAGATTCCCCTTGAACGTTGCTTGACTGGGCAGCTCAATACACCGTAGGGTTCTTAGATTAGAAGCCTCTCCATGCCCCTTCAGTCAGATGTTTTCCCCTGGATCTCTCGTCTCTTCCCGAGGCTTCCTATTTCTCTTAATTTGGGAATGGTGGTGTCAGATCCACGGAGACCTGTCTAAGCAGCAAAAGTCCTTGCAATTGGGTGTGTGTCTGTGTGTGTGTGGGGGGGGGGGGCTGATTCAGGAGGGATTCAGGCAACATTAAGGGGATCTGCTGAATTGCACACCCTTGTTTTTGCCTTTGGGAAAAAAAAGCAGTGTGAAGCACAGGGTACCCCAATTTAAAAGGCCATGGAGGTTCTCTGGGAGAAGCAGAAGTATTCTCATTTACTTCGTGGAGTTTTAAAAAAAACACCACACTGCTAATTGCATCTTTAAAACAGTTTAAAAATGACCTGTCATGAAACTATGAGAATTTAAAATTAATTTCCAGCCTCAAGTCTCAGGTTGCGTTATCTTTTAGATGTTCTTTTGAAAGATTGCCAGTGTTGGAAGTGCAGCTCATGGATGACTTTTTGACTTAATGAGAGAATCCAGACTGCAGGGTGTCGGTGTGACGTGGTTCTTATCTGGTTTAAACAAGCATTTCTCTCTGGAGAATTAAAAGCACTTAAATGTTTTGCGGGTGCAGGATTAAGAAAGACTGGTTGCAAAATGTTTAAAAAAAAATATTCTGCCAAAAAATATAACTTCGAATGAAATTGTAACTGAAAATCTCGACTCTAAGTGAGCAGAGCCATCTAATAAATACTCTCAGAAAGAAAAAAAATTGGCCTGGAATGGAGAAATAGGAAATGAGGACTTGGGCCACTGATGAACGCACAGACTCCTTGATTTAAATCATCGGTGCCCTGAATGAGTATGGAGCTTTGCTTGAGGGTCTTTGGTCTGGGGGTTTCTCCAAAGTCGTTACGAGCCCAGCCCAAAATGCTAGACAGAGGAGATCAAGATTGCTTCCCAGTTAGAGACCGAACGATGGAGCCTGTAGCTCTCCCGTCTGTGGAATTTATTCCCTCCCCTCCCTTCCTCTTATACCAATTAGACTAGAGTAACTCTTCTGTGCTTCGAAGCTTTGCTTTCAGTCTAGCTCCTCTGAACAAAATCATTTGAGCATTTAAAAAAAACAACTTTTTTTGGGGTGCCATCTTTTTGTTTTGGCAAAGAAAAAAAAAACCAGGCTTGGATAAGCCAGCTGCCCTTTATAGTCTGTGTGCTTGTAAAGCTTCAACTTTTTACTTTACTGCTTTTTTTTTTTAATAAAAAAACAAACAAACTCTTATTTGCTGTCAAAAACGTTCATTCTCCTGCCAAAATAATCATAATCTCGATTGCATGAGGGCCCTCATTAGAGAAGTGGCTTGTGTCACAAGCAGATTTCTTTAAAGCTCGGCCATGGAATAGCCCCAGAGGTTGCTCCTTGATAGGTGACTTTTGGAAGACTATTACTCTTTGAACCCAGACCTGTCTAGTACTTAAGGTGGAGTAGAGAAATAGTCTGTCGCCGTTCAGCTCTTTTTTAATTATTATTATCTGACATGATTGGATGCCCTTCTGGTGATACTCGTCTCATTCTGTTTTTCCTTGTAAACCAAACTTAACATGAATGTGGGGCAGATTTTACATATAGTGTATCCTGCATTGAAGCTGAGCTTGGCTTGCATATTACTAAAATTCAATTTTAAATATTAAAACACTTGAGCTATAGTGAAGTAATGCAAAGCTGATTCTTCCCCCCCCCCCTTCCCCTCCTTTGTTTGAAATGGAATTCCTGCAAATCTTCAAATGTGACTTTGCTCTGCTGGAGAAATAGATACCTTTTTAAAACCGTAATAAAATTAAATAAAATAAATCGACACCGCCTGCTTGTTTACGTTCTTTATTGTTTGAGCCAGTCAGAGGGGACGGTCATTTGAGATCTGGGGGTAATATTTGGGGGGAGGGGTTGGGAGCTGCAATGGGTGGGGGATCACAATATATGCTGGCATTTTATGTTTTTTTCCTGGGTTGGTGGGATTATAGCCTTCGTTTGGATGGCAAATCACTTGCCAATCTGATCACCATCTTCATTTAATGACCCCATAATCCCTAGCAGGGTGGAGTCTGGGCAACTGAATGGAGCTAGCAGAGTGTTTTAATGGCCAGATGCCTTTCCTGTCGCCAGTGCGGAGTTTTGTTCAGCAGATCTCAGTGGTGCCAATTTGATCCTGGGGGGAAAATCCAGTTGGAATGGATCTTAAGTTTTTTTCAACCTTGGCAGCCTGCAAATTTGTCTGGAGTACAGGTAGTCCTCAACTTACGACAGTTCAAAGTTACAATGGCACTGAGAGAAGTGACCGTTTTTCACACATCTATTAAACCACCACCCCCATGGTCATGTGATTAAAATTCGGATACTTGGCATGTGACGCATGATGGGTTGCAGTGTCCCGGGGTGTGTGTGTGTGTGTCACGTGATCCCTTTTTGCAACCTGACAAGCAAAGTCGATGGAAAAGCCACAAGTTGCAAAAGGGGGCAAAATTCATTTAACAAAACGTCTCGGCAACAGACGTTTTTGGCTCAGTTGTGATCGTAAATCGAGGATTATCTGTACGACGGAAGCCTTGGCCAACCCAAGCAGGGCCAATGGAGGAACTGGGGCTTGGGGTCCCATATATTTTACTGTTCATGGAGCAAAAGGAGCTGCTGTGGGAGGCAACCTTGGTGTTTCTAGGAACTATGTTGGCATAGCCCAAGAATCCAGCAACCATCCTGGATCAAGAGTTTTAAAATAGGTTGAATATTACCGCTCTGGTTTTCACATATTGGGTAAATCGCATTATAAGCTAGGTGGCAATATGGACTAGAAACCTAACTTTCTGGAATGGGAGCTCAAATGTCCACCTTCAGTGCATTTGGGCAGTTCCCAGGACTTGCACGGATGTGAACTCGGCTTTTTTAAAAGAGCAGACATGTTTCACAGCGACCCTAAATTTGGGCAACGTAAAGGTTGCTCTTGAAAGTGGGAACGTGAGCCATATCAAATGGGCTTGTTATGACAATTGCTAGGATAGAGCCATGGTGGCGCAGTGGTTAGAATGCAGTATTGCGGGCTAATTCTGCCGACTGCCAGCAGTTCAGTTCACACTGGCTCAAGATTGGCTCAGCCTTCCATCCTTCCGAGGTGGGTAAAATAAGGACCCCAGATTGTTGGGGGCCATAGGCTGACTCTGTAAACTGCTTAGAGGGGGCTGTGAAGCACTGAAGCAGTATATAAGTCTTAAGTGCTATTGCTATTGTGATAGTAACATCCTTACAGACCTCCAGAAGCTAAGCAAGGGGTGAACTGGTAGGTGCCTGAATGGCACATTGACTGGGGAACTCTGGGGAGTTGAAGTCCGCATATCTTAAAAGTTGCCACGGTTGACAAACACTGCTCTGGAGAGAGAGATCCTGCATATGGTGTATATTTTACACACACACACACACACAAATACAGACAACAGCCATATTCACAAGGTAATAGTAGGTAGTTAGGCTGTTGGTTTGAGCTCCGAGCTTGTCCATTTGGTTGCAAACATTTTGTCACCATTCGAGGAGACCGTGAGTTTTGAGTTGTGCTCGTCTGTCAGAAGACAGGCCTTTTATTTTTTTTCTTCATGTTTTTATTAGACGTTTTTCTTCATTTTATATCACATTTTCAATCTTTACAGCGCTTCAATACCAGTATCACTTATAAGTACATAAATTATTTACATTGTTCTTCCTTACCCTTTAAATACATTTATCTATTCTATATATTGTAACAATATTCGTAACTATATATATTTTACCTTTTTAACTTAAAAATATTTTTAAGGACACGGGCCTTTAAAACCCTTTTTATGAGATGCAAATTAGTCTGAAACGGACGAGCACAATTCAAAGCACACGGACGATGTCTCCTCGAAAGGTGACGAAATGTTTGCAACCAAATTGCCAAGCTCGGAGCTCAAACCAGCAGCCTAAATATTCACAAGTCTTTAGAACCAGGCATAAAGCTATCCCTGGTAGCTGAAGTAAATAGTAGATGGAAACAATCTCTTCAAGTTTTTGGCAAAACTAGAAAAAGTTCTCATTCCTGAGTTCTGGAGAGATTTTACAGGTAGCTGCAAATTATGTGGATATTAATACTAATACTACTACAAAGTGTGTGTGTGTGTGTGTGTGTGTGTGTGGCTTCTCAACATTTCCTCCCTTTTGGGTTTTCTCTAGTTGTGCAAAGAGAAATATAGGTAGTCCTCCACTTACAACCACAACGGAGCCCCAAATTTCTATTGCTAAGCGAGACATACGTTAAGTGATTTTTGCCTCCTGTTAATGACCTTTCTTGCCACAGTTGTTAAGTGAACCGCTGCAGATGTTAAGTTAGAAACACCGTCATTAAGTGAATTTGGCTTACCCTTTGACTTTGCTTGTTGGAAGGTTGCAAAAGGGGATCACATGACCCCGGGACACTGGGACCGTCCTAAATATGTGTCGTGGCCCATCAATGGTCTGTGCGGATTGTAGCTGATTCGGACAGCGAGGAGGCTGGTGTGGTGTTGTGCCAGCAGCCTGTGCAGCAAGCATCCAAGTCGGCTCTGGAGAAGATGTGCCAGAGGCAGGGATTCAGCCAGGGCCTTCAGAACCTCCAGAAGCTCCTTTAAGTGAGGAGGACGAAGAGGAGCCTCTTCTCGATGCACGGGTGCGCAGAGCGGCCAAAAGGCAGGAGTGGCTCCTCAGGAGGAGGTCTCCTCGAGAGTAAGACTTGGGGCTAATTGGCCACTCCCTTAGCCTATTTAAGGAGGAATGCCGACTGAAGCAATTTCCAGGGAACAACTTTAGTTCATTCTCCGCCGCGTCTGGATTCTCTGCAAATTGCTTCTGGGCTTTCTGCCAACCTTAGTAAGATTGTGATTACTTTATCTTTGTTTTCTTGTAGGCTGTTAAGGAAGTTTATTAACAGCCTTTGTTTTGAAAAAGACTCAGTTATTTTAGTAAATTAAGTTTTGTACAAACTTTGTGTGTGCTGTGTTCTTTGGGGCAGAACATAGCTGGGGCAGAACAATATGAGTCAGTTGCCAAACACCTGAATTTTGATCACATGACCAATGGGATACTGCAAAGGTCATAAGTGTGAAAAACGATCATAAGTCACTTTTTTCAGTGCCGCTGCAAATTTGAACAGTCACTAAACAAACTTGTGAGTCAAGGACTACCTGTAGTATGTAGTTTGATTATGGTGACTTACTTTAGGGAGATAGCTTTTAAAGATGGCTTATATATATTTAATTAATAAACACTTACCGTACTTTCAATAATAGTCTGTAGAGATTCTCAGTCATCCGGGTCCTGGTTGTCCCAAAGGTGCTTTTTTTCAAGAGGCAACTGGACTTTTTTCTTTTGAAGACATTTCGCTTCTCATCCAAGAAGCTTCTTCAGCTCTGACTGAATGATTTATTCCCCGCCGTCCAGTCATAGCTGGAGAAGCTTCTTGGATGAGAAGTGAAACGTCTTCAAATAAAGACAAAAAAGTCCAGTTGCCTCTTGAAAAAAGCACCTTTAGGACAGGTGTGAAATGCTACTGGTTCGCTCCGGTTCGGGTGAATCGTTAGTGATAAAAACTACCGCTTCAGGTGAACCGGTAGTAAAAAAAAGCTACCGCTTGGTCCGAACCGGTATTTCTGATGATCAGCTGTGTGGCACGATTTATATTCTATTTATCTATCTAAATAGCGCAGGACAGCTTTTCCCCCCCTCAATGTTCTACTTTTGTTCAAATGGCTCCTTTTTCTGCATGAAGCGCACATTGGTGTGCACTGCGCATGTGTGCGCACGCAACATGCATTTGTCTGGCATGCACTGCATGCGTGGGCAGCAAACCAGTGGCAATTGGCGGAAGATTTCACCACTGCTTTGGGACCCATTTTCAATAATATTTAATGCTATTTCTTATTTTACCATCTGCTTATTAATAAGATTATTCTCAGGTACTCAAATTTCTAGGCTGAAGCTAAAGACATTTTTTTTTTCCCTATAGCTGTTTTGATTTTACAGGTACCTGAGATATTAAGGGAATTACCAGCAAATGAAATGTCTAAATGTTTGCAACTGCCACAGGGCTTTCCAATGAGCATCTTGGACAAAGCTGTTTGAAGGTGTTGTTTGGACGATGCTGGCTTGTCTAGAAACTTAATAGGCAAACTGTAAAAGTAAAGATATTATCTGTTGAGAACAATGTAAAATCACAGCTGCCGGTTCTTCAGCTGCTCTTGATCTCCATAAGCACCGAGTTCTTCCTAAGAACCTAGGACAGGGGTCAGCAATCTGCGGCTCCGGAGCCGCATGCAGCTCTTTGGACCCTCTGCTGTGGCTCCCTGTCAGGTGATCCCACCACTGACTGGCCCTCTCCTCCCAGTCATTCCTCTCCTGACCTGAGAAGGTAAGGGCGACGGCGGGGGATGGAGAGGCGGCCAGGGCAGAGACAGAGAGATACAGAGAGAGGGGAAGAGAGAGACATAGAGAGATACAGAGAGAGAGAGGGAGGGAGGGGAGAGAGAGATATGTCAAAAGGATTTTGTGGTTCCCGGTGTTTTTTGACAACTGGTTCTCTACCCTAATGACCGGCTGGGTAGGCATGGCTGGGGGGGGTGTCATGTGACTGGTGGAAGTGAGTGACATCAAGTTGGCCACGCCCACCCAGGTTTTGTGGCTCCTGGTGTTTTCTTTTTTGTGGGAAATGGTCCAAATGGCTCTTTGAGTATTTAAGGTTGCAGACCCCTGACCTAGGAATTCATAATTATTGGCATAGTATATGTGGGTCCATGCCTTTTGCAATTCTTTGGGTTATTCCCTCCATATCTCATGGTCACAGTTGACAGATGGAAATGTCTTTATGTCCAAGAGTTTTTAATGTTTAAGTCAGTGTACCAGCAACCACCGGGATCACCCTAAAATTATGATTTAGGCCATCATCTTTCAACTTTCATTTTCAGATCTTGACACATTCTGATCCTCTCCAGTTCTGTGTCTTTTATTCTGCTATGCCCTGGTACTGCTCCTTCAATTATCCACACTTTCTTCTTTTCAACCACAATAAAATTCCGGTGTGTTATGAACCAAGACGTTTTTTAATCAGTTTGAATTTGGAAATCCTACAGTATTTTAACTTGCTCATTTTCTATTTTTTTCCCCCCAAGTCAGAGGTGGGTTTCAGCAGGTTCTGACCAGTTCTGGAGAACCGGTAGTGGAAATTTTGAGTAGTCTGGAGAACCGGTAGCAAAAATTCTGACTGGCCTCGCCCCCATCTATTCTCTGCCTCCCAAGTCCCAGCTGATTGGGAGGAAATGGGAATTTTGCAGTAACCTTCCCCTGGATTGGGGAGGGAATGGAGATTTTGCAGTATCCTTCCCCCGGAGTGGGGTGGGAATGGAGATTTTGCAGTATCCTTCCCCTGCCACACCCACCAAGCCACGCCCACCAAGCCATGCCATACCATGCCACGCCCACCGAGCCACACCCACAGAACCGGTAGTAAAAAATTTTGAAACCCACCACTGCCCCAAGTATATGTTCCCACCCAGTTTTCACACAATGATTTTTTGCAGATGTTCCAGTGTGGACAGGCGTGGGATGCCTTTTGTTTATCGTCAGTTTGTGCAATCACCTTGCACGATCTACTGTTTCTTCTGCTTTTTTTTTTTTTTTTGCACAATCCGAACTTTGAATCATCTGATGATTTTTTTCCCCCAGTTCTGGCCTTGAGCGCGCATTATTACTTTAATAACATTTCATTCCCTTTAAATGGCAGTGTGGTTGAAGGATGCCCTTGTTATCCTTCAGTTTTCAGTACAATCAGATCAGTGTCTACATTTACGTTATCGCTGTGCAATTATTTTTATCATCATGACAAAGCACAGCTCGGTTGCCCTAGTGCCCCAGTTTCTTGCCACACCCCCTGGGGCCTTATGTGTGTGTTTGTGTGTGTGTGTCCCAGCTCTTTGTCCCTTCCATCTCTCTGGGTGATGAGGGATTATGTCACCTCGTGTTGTGACTTCCCCCCGCGGTTCATTGGCTTTCAGGCATCTCCCGGGCAACGAGACCAAACCGAAGAGGCTGATCTGTTTCCTTACAGCAGAGATCAGCTCCCTCATTGGCTAGGAGCGTTGCCTATAGCAACGGGAAGACGCTGATCAGAGCTGCTTTTGTGGCAGGCGAGCATCCTCGAGGCCTCTGAGCGAGCCGGGGAATTTCCTGGCCTGGCAAAGCTGCCACCGGAGCCATGTCTCAGCCTGCTGTGCTTCTCACCCAGGAGCCTGCTCCGCAGAGCATCCCTGTTTCTGAGCTGCCCATGAAGGTTTACGAGCCGGCTCTGAACACCGGTCCCGATTCATCGAGCGGTTTGGCTACAGCTGGCTTCCGCACCGCCAAGTTCCTGCCTGAAGAATGGCACCAGAACAACTACATCCGATACCACGAGGCCTTTGCTGACCGCGACCATTCTGAGCGCTGCCGCCATGAGTCCCAGAACCTGGCCAATTACACGGCTGAGTTGGCCCAGCGCACCCAGGAGGACTCTACGGCTAAAGTGGGTCAGAGGCTCCAGGACATCCACTTCTGGAAGTCGGAGCTTCAGAGGGAGATTGAGGACCTGGTGGCTGAGACTGACCAGCTGGCAGCTCAGAAGCTGCGGCTGGAGCGAGCCATTGATGCCACGGAGGTCCCCTACAGCATCGCCACGGACAACCTGCAATGCCGGGAACGCCGGCAGCATCCTGACCTGGTGAGGGACCAGGTGGAGGTAGAGCTGCTCAAGGTAGGGCATTTCCTTCATAAATGGTCCCCTGGTGCATGGCTGTTTGCATGTTCTTGGAGTCAGGGAAGAACTTGAGCTGAGATTGGAGGTTCTGTTTGGTAGCACAGAAGGTCCCCAGTTTCTACACTGGTATCTCCGTCATACTACAAATGATGTTTTGCCTGAAACCCTGGAGAACCCAAACCAGTCCACAGTCAGGTTTGCACAAAAAGCTAATCACATTATGGCAGAGGGTGTGAACTCAAGGCAGGTGGGGCTTGTGTGACAAATTGTGGTCAAAACGAATGTCTCCTCCTCCTCTTCTTGTGCCATATCCGTCATTGGACGTTGGCAATGATGTTGGCGATCTTATTTTGATCAGCAGCCGCACAAAAAAGTGCTGTTGAGTTTTGTCCAAACCAGTCCCTTAGATTTTGAAGCCATGATGTTCTTCTTCTGCCTGAACCTCACTTGCCTTGAATCTTTCCTTGGAGGTTTAAGTGAAGGATGCCATATTTTTCGGGGTGTCACATCACATGCCCAAAATATTTTAACTTTTGCTTTTTAATGGCTTTGATGATTTCCCTTGGCTTTCCCAGGTGGCTTATCACCTCCTCGTTTGTGATTTTGTTAACCCAGTTTATATGTAACAGCTGCTGTAAGTCCATGTTTCAAATGCTTCTAGTTTCTGCAAGTGGTTTTCTGTCAGAGACCAACTCTCCACTCTGTAGAGCAGGATAGAAATGCCTCCTAGCCCAATGAACCCAGGCAGAACCTTGACCGAGATGGAGCGGGACGCGGTATAACAGAATATGTCATTTGCTTTGCACCCTATTTGGAAGTAAACGTGAAAGTGGACTTGCTACAGGATTCAGAAACGACTCCAGACCGAGTGCCCAAAGCGTGCATGTGTGTGCACGCGAATGCGCACGAAGGGTCTGATGCGGGTTGATCCACAGAGTGTGGTTAAAAAAAGTCACCATGGCGATGAATTTTAAAATCTATCCATCCATCCATCCATCCATTCTCTCTCTCTCTCTCTCTCTCTCTCTCTCTCTCTCTATCTCTATCCATCATCTCTCTCTCTCTCTCTCTCTCATCTCTCTCTTTCTCTCTCTCCAGAGCCCGGGGAGGGCAACCCCCCCCCCCGCTGTGGTGCAGGAGGCCGACTAGGCCACGCCCACCATGGCCACGCCCACCCAGCAACCAGGCAGAGAACCCCTTGCTAAAATTTTTGAAGCCCACCCCTGGTTTGATCCCCAGGGAGGCTTGAGAAAGGAAACTGAGTCAACTGTTCCAGATGGGAAGGGGCTATTTTCTAAAGGAAGGCAGTTCAGGGAGGGGGGGTGGACCCCGTATGGCAGGAAGGTTCAGATCCATAAAAAGCTCCAATTGTGGAAATAGGATGTCCTTTACCTAACCTGCCTGTCAACAGTTTTTGAAGTAAGATCTAGCCCTCCAAGATGTATGCAACCGTGAGGGCTAGGAACTTGCCTACAAAATAAAAAAAAAAAATCAGAACTTTTTAAACAAAATGCTGCGCTGTATTTTGCTTCTGTTTTGAAATCCACAGCAGGCAGACAGGTCTAAGCGGATGGAAGGTGCACCCATCATTTTAAAGGTTTCCCTTCGTTGCCTTTGCAGGCAGTTCCCTGATGTACTTATATTTTTACCGTTTTCGTTTAGGAGACCGAGCTCATCCGAAATATCCAAGAGCTCCTGAAAAGAACAGTGAAGCAAGCTGTTAACCAGATGCAGTAAGGCCTCTATTCAGTATTTGGTCATGACCAACTTCTAAGGTTTGGGGGGGGGGGGGGGCGACATGAGTGTCGGCTTTCTCAAATGAAGTGCATGTAACTCATTCTTCCCCATCTTGGCCTACCTGGTTCCCAACCTCTTTGCACAACTAAACAAGACTGTGTCTGATTTTGTCTGGATGACATTCTAGTCCTGCCATGCATTGCCAAGTTCTTGTTTAAAAAGATGTGGTTAAAAATGCAGGTCATCTTAACTTAAAATCAAAATTAGGATTGGAACTTCCATCACTAAGTAAGATGGTCGTTACTTTTGCAACCTTTTTTTGCAGCAGTCTTTAAGTAAATGATCACGGGTGTTAGCACTTAGACTTATATACCACTTCACAGTGCTTTACAGCCCTCTCTAAGCGTTTTACAGAGTCAGCACATTGCCCCCAACAATCTGGATCCTCATTTTATCCACCTTGGAAGGATGGAAAGCTTGAGCTGGTCAGGATCAGGATCAAACTGCTGGCTGTGGGCAGAGTTCGCCTGCAATACTGTATTCTAACCATTGGGAGGGAAGGAAGAAAGGAAGGAAGGAAGGAAGGAAGGAAGGAAGGAAGGAAGGAAGGAAGGCTGTGCCACCACATCTCTTTTAAGTATGAGGAAGGGACATAAGCAGGGGTGAAATGCAGCAGGTTCTGACAGGTTCTGGAGAACCGGTAGCGGAAATTTTGAGTAGTTCGGAGAATCGGCAAATACCATCTCTGGCTGGTCCCAGAGTGGGGTGGGAATGGAGATTTTGCAGTATCCTTCCCCTGCCACACCTACCAAGCCATGCTTACTAAGCTACACCACGCCCACCAAGCCACGCCCACAGAACCGGTAGTAAAAAAATTTCACACTGGACATAAGCCATTTTTTTCAGCATGGTCATAATATCAAATGGTTGTTAAATGGTCATAAATCAAAGTCTTAATCTGTATAGGACCCATACTTTAGATTGTCAGGGTTGTTATTGTAATATCAGTGTCAAAATGAAACATACTGACTTGCATAGAGTGCAAAATCTTTGGCTTACTTCACATCTACCGTATTTTCCGGCGTATAAGACGACTTTTTAACACATGAAAATCTTCTCAAAAGTCGGGGGTCGTCTTATACGCCGGGTATCCTTCTCCTGTAACCAGGCAGACCAGCCCGAAAGGCTCTAACGAGCCTTAAATGGCTCTGGCGATCCCAGCTCTGACGATCCCAGCTCTGACAATCCCAGCTGAGTTCCCTGCAACTCAGCTGGGATGGCCAGAGCCATGTAAAAGGGAAAAAGTTTTCCCCCTCCAGCTTGCTTACCTCAGCTGCTAGTCGCAACGCTTGCCTTGCTTTGCTTGCCTGAATCTATTCAGGCAAGCAAGCAACTCCCTGCCTGCAATCAAGCAAGGAGTTAGTTGTGGACTTCAACTCCCAGAATTCCTCAGCCAGCAAAGCAAAGCTGGCTGAGGAATTCTGGGAGTTGAAGTCTACAAGTCTTAAAGTTGCCAAGGTTGGAGACCCCTGTTCTATTGGGTAAGTTTTTTTCCCCTTTGGGAGCTTTAAAAAAAATAGTCAATTGGGGTTTTTTTAGTTGTTCTTTTTTAGACCTAGCCATTTAAAGTTTAGGAAGTTTTAAATTTAGCTTTCATATAAAAATAAAAATAAAATAAAATAAAACAATATTTGTGCAGCTTTCTGAGATTTAGTGTGTTTCTGTAGTGTTTCACTCCAACTACACAAACACACAAAATCTCACAAAGCTGTATGTGGAATTTGGTGTGTGTAAAGTGTGAAAGTTGGTTTTTTGGACTTTTGGTGGCTGTGTGAGGTTCCTGCTTGTTGCAGGGGCCATTTTGGGTCTAAGCACAGCTGCTTTTACATTGTGGGTGAGCCAGTTGTGTTGTGTTGTGTGTGTTTAGAGTGTGAAAGTTTTTTGGGGGGGCTTTTTGTGGCTGTGTGAGGTTCCTGCTTGTTACAGGGGCCATTTTGGGTCTAGCACAGCTGCTTTTACATTGTGGGTGAGCCAGTTGTGTTGTGTTGTGTGTGTTTAGAGTGTGAAAGTTTTTTGGGGGGGGCTTTTTGTGGCTGTGTGAGGTTCCTGCTTGTTGCAGGGGCCATTTTGGGTCTAGCACAGCTGCTTTTACATTGTGGGTGAGCCAGTTGTGTTGTGTTGTGTGTGTTTAGAGTGTGAAAGTTTTTTGGGGGGGGCTTTTTGTGGCTGTGTGAGGTTCCTGCTTGTTGCAGGGGCCATTTTGGGTCTAGCACAGCTGCTTTTACATTGTGGGTGAGCCAGTTGTGTTGTGTTGTGTGTGTTTAGAGTGTGAAAGTTTTGGGGGGGCTTTTTGTGGCTGTGTGAGGTTCCTGCTTGTTACAGGGGCCATTTTGGGTCTAGCACAGCTGCTTTTACATTGTAGGTGAGCCAGTTGATGTTTTTTAATTTTTATTTGGTGTGCATTGGAAGAGGGGCAGTCTTATATGGCGAGTATAGCCCAAACCCTATATTTTAACAGGAAAAGTTGGGGGTCGTCTTATATGCCCAGTCGTCTTATACGCCGGAAAATACGGTATGTACTAATTTGCCCCAAGGTTTGACGATTTAAGAAGCAAAGTCAATGGGGAAAACAGAGTCACTCAACAACCGTGTTACTAACTCACGATTTACTTAACAATCGTGGCAGGAAAAGTTTGCAAAATGGGGCAAAACTCACCTGATAAGTGTCTTGCTCAGCAACAGAAAGTCGAGGACCTGTGAAACATTAAAAAAAATTAAATAAGCAACAACACCAGTGGTTATCTCAATTACTACCTCCAAGAAAGCCAACCCCAAAATATCAACCACAGCAATAGGCTAGCATGCTAGGAAAATAAAGTAAAGAAAGAAATCTCTTATGCAGGGAAGAAAACTGAGCGTGGTGAAACAACTCAGTAATTTTTGGTTTTTTTATTCAAGGAAAAGGTAATTATTATTATTTGGTTCATTTCCTGTTCATCCACCAGATGGCGGTATAATATAGGAAACAAGGAGGCAGACACGTGGAAATTACAGGACTAAATGGGCTGATTTTTTAAAAAAATGTTTTTTTGTAGACAAAATACAGTAAATCAGAGAGAAGACTAGAGCCTGTGGTTTTGTTTTGTTTAAAATCTCCCCTGTGCTTTATTTTTGTAGCCAAATACAGGAAAACCAAAAAGAATCTGGAGATCTGAAAGCAAATTAAATTATTTAGGTTTATGGATAATAAAAGAGGAGCAAAAATCTTGAATCTCAAACTTACCTTTTCTGCTTTGGACTCTATTATTTTATGGCTCTGTTCATTTGTAAATTACAGATTTTTTTTAAAAAAGTGCAACAACCAAAATAACCTCTTTCCAAGTCCCTGCCAATATTTCCTTGTCTGTGCTTGCACAGCCTGGTAGCTCTTAAATTCTTTACAAAATCCATCCCTGTTTAATTTTTACAGGTGATTATCATGGAGTGATTTGAGAGAGATGATTCCTCAAATTATATTCCAATTATTTTCAATTGCACCCTTGAGATGTTCTTAGCATGACATTACATTCCGTCAAGCTTCAGTTTAAATTGCCAGCAGGTGACACGTAGAACAAGACGTATTCTGTCATGTATCCTGTTTGAAACCTGGTGCTTTTACTGGAAATTCAAAATGTTTTTTTTTTAAAAAAACATGGAAAGCTATTCTGAGATTAATGAATATTAGGTTTGTGAACATTTCCAGTTTTCAAATAAGTCTCCCATGAAAGCGAAATAGTGTCACTATTTTGTTAGTATTTTAATATTTTTATTTGGTATATCCATCTATGTAAGTGCAGTACTGTACAAGATTTCCAGAAAATATATAAAAGGTAAAGGTAAAGGTTTCCCTTGCACATAGGTGCTAGTCGCTCCTGACTCTAGGGGGCGGTGCTCATCTCCATTTCAAAGCCAAAGAGCCAGCGCTGTCCGAAGACATCTCTGTGGTCATGTGGCTGGCATGACTCAACGCCAAAGGCGCATGGAACTCTGTTCCCTCCCACCAAAAGTGGTCCCTATTTTTCTACTTGCATTTTTTACCTGCTTTCGAACTGCTAGGTTGGCAGAAGCTGAGACAAGTAACGGGAGCTCACCCTGTTACGCGGCACTAGGGATTTGAACCGCTGAACTGCCGACCTTTCGATCGACAAGCTCAGCATCTTAGCCACTGAGTCACCGTGTCCTGTAGAAAATATAAATAAATAAATAAATAAGAATTCCATTTTTTCAGACAAAAATCCTGTGTGGTAGGTTGAGGTGAGAGAGAATGATGGATCGAGAATTTCTGGGTTATTTCCTTGGCTATCTGAGGGTCTCCCTAATCCTCATGTATACAGCTAGTCCTCGATTTACAACATTTAGTTCATTTAGTGACCGTTCAAACTTACAACATCACTGAAAAAAGTGGCTGATGACCATTTTTCACACGATCGTTGCAGTATCCCACAGTCACATGATCAAAATTCAGACCCTTGGCAGCCGACACATACTTATGACAGTTGCCATGTCCCAGGGTCATGTGATCCCCTTTTATGACCTTCTGACAAGCAAAGTCAACGGGGAAGCCGGATTCACTTAGCAACCATGGTACTAACTTAACAACTGCAGTGACTCACTTAACAACCATGGCACAAAAGATCGTAAAATCAGGCGAAGCTCCCTTAACACCACCCTCTTACCAGACACTGGTAAGATCTCATATTAAGAATTACCTAGTGGCGATAAAAGCAGCAAAGTGTAATTATTTTGCTGCTCTTATTGCATCATCAGAGAACCGCCTGGCCGCCCTGTTTAGGGTGACCCGCTCCTTGCTCCACCAGGGAGTGCGGGAGGACCCCTTGGAGGGTAGAGCCGAGGACTTTGTACAGTATCTGCATGACAAAATCACTCAGATTCGGGAAGGTCTGGACTCCGACTGGGTAGTTTCAGGGGGGAATGACTGAGGCAGGTCTTGAGAATGTTATCTGGGATGAGTTTGATCCTGTGACTCCTGACGACGTGGACAGGATTCTGGGTAGACTGAACGCGACCACATGTTTGTTGGACCCGTGTCCCTCCTGGTTAGTGCTGGCTTCTCAGGAGGTGACACGAGGCTGGCTCCAGGGGATTATAAATGCTTCACTGAGTGAGGGTGACTTCCTCGCTGCCTTGAAAGAGGCGGTGGTGAGGCCTCTCCTCAAGAAGCCTTCCCTGGACCCGGCAGTGTTGTCTAATTATCGTCCGGTCTCCAACCTTCGCTTTGTGGTGAAGGTTGTTGAGAGTGTGGTTGTGCGACAGCTCCCCCAGCACCTGGATGAAATAACGTATCTGGATCCGTTCCAGTCAGGCTTCAGGCCTGGGTACAGCATGGAAACAGAATTGGTCGCGTTGGTCGATGATCTCTGGAGGGCTCAGGACAGAGGTTGCTCCTCTGTCCTGGTTCTATTAGATCTCTCAGCGGCTTTTGATACCATTGACCATGGTATCATGCTGCACTGGTTGGTAGAGCTAGGGGTGGGGGGCACTGTGTTGCAGTGGTTCTCCTCCTTTCTCTCCAACCGGTTGCA